GTTTCACTCGTTAGTGTATAGTCGGATGTAACGAAAGGAAAGACAAGCTGACACCAAGATCCCGATGTTCACCGAAAAGTTTCGGACTCTGTCTTGGTTGCTGTTCATTCCCTTACTAGGTTTAGTAATGTCTGCACATCGTCCGTTCAAGTAGTTACTTTCTTTCTGTCACAATTTAATTCTGAGCCTGAAAGTGCTCAATTTTTTCTTAAGTTATTCCAGAAATGGTTTTATTAGCTTTGTGATCACATAAGGGGTATAATTTACCCTAAACGGTACAGCATTGTATTGGAAGAGCTGTCCCTTGAATATGAATCTGAAATATATTCTACCACTCTCCAAAACGGGTACCAAAATCCCTGCATATTCCAAATCCAGATTCGTTAAGAAAGTATCTCTACGGAGAAGTCTGATCCCAGTTCAATAGCCTAGACTTAAGTGTTATATCCATATAAAAAAACAGTCTTGAGGTAAGGAATTAAACGTGTTGACCAATGAGACTTGATGGAAAGAAAAAGTTGGATAGGTGCTGATTTTTAGTTAGCTCAACTTTTTTTACTGATAGCACCGCAGCTAAGCAGTTCATAGTTGGATTAATGAGATTCAGCTATGGCAAAGTGCTAAACCAGTCGCCATCTGAATGGCAAGTGACCACTTGAGTCCAACTCAGGACTTTAGCACCACTCCTAAAGCTGCCATTGATGATGAATACGCGTTACTGCCCATGCTGATCTACACACCTCATCTGCAATAGAGGGTTGATGTTGTCAGTACGTTGTCTGGCCTTTTGACCTTTAGTTCTTGCTCTACGAGTATTTATCTGATTTCTATTTAGAATTGACTTACTTGGTAAGACCTACACCGAAGAGCAAGATATCACTGGAAACCTCTGTCAGAGTACTACTGAGTTATTTGCTTTAATGCGAATATCTGCCAGCATGCACTCCTCTCCTTTCTTTGAACCTAGAGGATAAAGTATTGCCACTTGCAGTTAATGAACAGCTCACATGTTGCTGTACACAGTCCAAGCACGCATCCCTGCGTGCGACAATTTCTATTATGGCTTCCGTTACCTCAGGGTTCACCTTAGGTGGCTAGAATAGAACAGAATTTATTCATCTATCGTCATCAACATATGTCAGCCTTGGAACAACGCGCGAACATTAATTATACTAAGGTCGCCGCATCATCGAGGTGATGAGTCATCTATTGAAACAGACTACATGGCCTTTAAGAGCACACAATCCAGAGCGCCCTGCTGTTCGAGTGCTACCTATGCAAAATGTAACGTTAATCAGGCATAATGATATTTAACTTCCGTTATTACTGAACATTAGAACTGTGGTGGTTTCCTAACCGGAGATGTTCATACGTACAGTCCTGTTCCCATAGTTATCACCAGCCATGTGGAATTTGCTATCACAATCAAAATGTAACGCTAGTCTACCATAATTGTACCTAATTTCTATATGTTGTTAATGAAAAATAGTACTTCAGCTGTCTCGTAACCTGTCATGTGCATATTATTGATCTGTTCGATTGCTATTCCAAACCATAAGGAGTTTGCTATCACAAGCAAAATGTAACGATAGTCTCGCATAGATAAAACCTAATCTCTATCTGTTATTAACGAAAAATGGTACTTTAGTGGTTTTCTAAACTGTCATGTGCATTCTGACAAAGATATTCCAAGGTTATCACAAACCAAATGAAATTTACTATCTGGTGATAAAAAAAGATATACATTGGCGGTTTTCTAACCAGACATGTTCATAATTACACACCTGTTCCACGGTTATCACAAATCACGTGGAATTTGCTATCACAAGCAAAATGTAACGCTAGTCTCGCATAAATGTAGTTAATCTCTGTCGTTCATTAATGAAAAATGGTACTTCGGCTTCTTCCTAACTTCTCATGTTACAATATTGTTCCATAGTTATCACAATCCAGATGGAATTTGCTATCCCAAGCAAAATGTGCCGCTCTAGTCTCACATAGATGTACCCAATTTTGATCTGTTATAAATCAAAAATGCTATATCGCTACATTGCTATTACAAACTAGATGGGATTTGCTATCTCAAAAAAAATGTAATGCTAGTCTATATACAGGGTGTCCGCAAAGTTGGAGTTTTCCTTTTCAGAAACAACTACCCTTGAAATAACAAAGGTAATGTGTAGTGAAACGAGGGCGACCAAGTAAAAAAAAAATAAAGGAAAAGTACTCACTCTCCAGTTGACGAGAAGGGCTAAGTACGTCTCTGCCTGAAATCGAAAGTTATTCACCCCATTACGCGTGAACGTAGATTCGTCTGTCACCAATATGCACTTCAAAAAGTCCGGATTATTGTCATTTTGATGCAACAACCACTCACAAAACCGCACTCTTGCTGGAAAATCGTCAGGTTAAAGGGCTTGTACACGTTGGACGTTTGCCACACTTTAGTTTTTGATACTTGCACTTCTCTAGCCACGTCTCTAGTGCTTGTTGAGGGATTCTCGTCTACGCGATTCAGTAGTTCTTCCTCAACTTGCACCATTCGTGGTTGTCTAGGCCTCCCACTGTGCCCACCTCGAAATTCCTCCAAATGGCCCGTATCCCTGACTCTCTGGACCAGGTACACAAATCTGCGGGGCCTTGGATCATGTCGTCTAGGGAAACGATCTGCATACACTCGCGATGATTCTGTATCATTTTGAAGACATTCGCCATAAATTAACAACATATCAACGAGTTCATTATTGGTGTATGAGTGTGCCATTATTATTTGTTTTTCAAACGCAATCGATTATACGGGTTCGTTACCTCTATACGCGTGACCCTTTACCGTCGGTTGAAGGTTGCATACTGACCTGACACACTGACCCCGACCCCCGACCCAGTTCTGTCGTCGGGTTCAGCTAGTAGCCGGTACCAGTCTGGCGGTGGCGGCTACAGGACGGTATTCAGATATTTTTGATGTTGCAGAGCCCTTTATCTCGGTTCCCTTAAGACATTGGTGTATACGGTACTAAGAAAAATTGCTTATGTTTTCAAGATCTACACGTCGTGTAAAGCAAAACCCCAACTTTGCGGACACCCTGTATATGAACCTAATCTCTATTTGTTATTAATGGAAAATGGTACTTCGGCAGTTTCCTAAACTGTCTTGTGCATTCTTATTATGCTGTTCCAAGGTTATCACAAGCCAGATGGAATTTGCTATCACAAGCAAAATGTAACGCTAACCTCGGATAACATACCTAATCTCTATCTGGTAATAAGGAAAAAATATATCTTAACAACTTCCTAGCCTGCCATGTTGAAACGTACAGTCCTGTTCCATTGTTATCACAAACCAGATGAAATTTGCTATCACAAGGAAATGAGAAAAGATTGTTAACCATACCTTGTTGCTACATTGTCCCAAATGCTTTCAGTGTTGTTATTTGTGAACCAAGCAACCGAGTTCAATGTTACAACGTTATCCCAAATGTCTTCGTTCATCCTTGGTGTGGAGCTGACTATCCCAAGCCAGGTACACGTTGCTATCCCAAGCAACCGAGTCTAATGCTTCCACGTTATCCCAAACGTCCTCGTTCGTCCTTGTTGTGGAGCTGACTATCCCAAGCCAGGTCCACGTTGCTATTCCAAGCAACCGGGTCCAATGTTTCAGCGTTATCCCGAACGTCTTTGCTCGTCCTAGGTATGAAGTTGGCTATCACAAGCTAGGTCCAGGTTGCTATCCCAAGCAACAGTGTCAGAACGCTATCCCAAACGTCATCCTAGGCACAATTTGCAGCGCCGGTGAGGCATCCATACTAAGATTCATTTAACTTGAACCTAAAATAGATCGGTTAGTTGACAGTTACCTGATGGTGACGTCCCTTCAGAAAAAGAGGCCTGCACGCCACTTTCTAATTTTGGTCGGCGACGAAAGGAACCTTCAGGCGACCGTCGGTCGGTATCTCGTTCGACAATGCACATCTATCGGCCAACCTTCTGTCCTGTTTTCTAATTCTAATTGTTCAGAGGATCCTCGACACTGCACTGCACGTAAACGACGCGCGCCGATTAACGTCTTGACGGTCGGGCACGAGAACAAGGAATGAAGGTTTATATGCGGCCAGAGGGGAGAAAGGTAAGGGGAAGAGGCGCGGTGCCTCTTTCCTTCTCTGCGTGCGCACTTTGAAATCGTGGCGGTTAGGTACTACTACGAGGGTACTACGATATGTATTCTAAATATTTACTTCGACGAGGACAGAACATAATTAAATACCTTACGAATATACCGACAGAAAGGTATCTCCGTACATTATATCATACACTGATTGAGCCTGACCTCACATATCGTATATTAGCATGCGGAACTGCATGTTCATCACATATCTATAATTTAGATATTTTTCCAAAAAGTAGTCTAAAAATTAAACTTTATCCCACTGACGAATTATCCGCAGATGTACAAATGTATGATATAAGAATTTATTTCTTATACAGTTCTACTCACTACCATAAATTTGTCAATAGCGACCGAAAAATTAAATATAATCATTACACAAGATACAAAATTCGTGGCACAGTAGTTCCTCAGCCACATAAATCTATAATGCAGCGGCCATATCTCTATTTAGGACCAAAACTTTATGAAATTATGCCTAAAGACCTAAAAGACTTAAATTTCGGAAATAATTTCCAAAGACATTTGAAAAAGTGGCTATTCTATATATAGGACTAAAATTCATAAGCACATAGATACGAACATCAATGGTCCATGCACAGGTAATGCCTCATTTAGGCATGTTTTTATTCTATATTTATTTACTCGTGTTGTTTTCTTTGTATATTGAGTGAACAAATATTATAGTTAAATTACATTCCATCAAATTGACGCTGGACCAATCTCATACGCAATATAAATAGACTTCTTGATGGCAGAATACGAATTCATTTTTATTTCTTATTCTAAGCATTTTTTTGACGATGAAGAATATTTAACGTAAACAGAAACCACCTACCTCACTGTCCCTTAAATTCGATTGCAGATTTTCCCTGCTACTGTTTGTGTCACTTTTTGTGAGTTGATCCGCCTGTTAAAAAAATAATGAATTAGTAAATACATTTTCAGTGTTGCGAAGTGGATTTTTCCACCTACACAAATGTTTTTCGTTAAAAAATATTACTTTGCATTGTGTTTTTTCGATTTTCTTCATAGGAAAAAAATAGATGCCCGAATGGTATTTGACAAGACTATTTCATGAGTAACAAATTACTGGTGTCCTAGGAGAGCATAATTACTTGTTATCAAAGGTATTGTAATTTTTTATGACAACAGCTGTCAAGTTTTGCCGCGCTAAAACTCGAAAAAACTACTGACAGGTGCTGTCTTACAATTATTAATTCTAGAAACAATTTGTAATTCAAAATTGCGCGTTTTTGATTTGAAGAAATTAAGACGATGGAAATAGTCATAAGTAATATCATAAAGGTATCTAATTTTTCAGAAAAAAATCGAAAAACACATTGCTAAGTAATACTTTAACAAGAAGCATGAGTTCTGGTGGCAACAAAAATCCGAGTCGAAGACCAGGATTTTTGCACCTGCACGAATGTTTTTTGTTAAAAAAATATTACTTTGCATTGTTTTTTCAATTTTTTTCACAGGAAAAAATTAGATTCTCTAATGGTATTTGACAAGACTATTTCATGAGTTCCTAACAGATTAATCATAAAATTCATAAAATACATATCTTGCATTTTTTTGCAACGGTATTCCACATTGTCTTCACAATTAGTTCTTTGTAATTTTCACCCTTTTCTTTCTTCATATTCCACGCCCAATCTTTCAGGATTAGGTTTAGTTGCTCTAAACTTGTAGTTTAAAATAGCTTGTATTTCTTTGCATGCATTCAATGTATAAAAAAAACAAAAAATATAACAAATTATTGTAAATACAGGAGACGTACTTATATCTATTATTGCCCATTTGATAAGTTATTACAGATGAGTATTTTTACACATGTCATTAGAAATCAAGCGAGGCTCCACGTCATAATTATATTGTAATGTCAATTGTCATTTTAAACGTCAGCCATATTGGATTAGAATGACATCACTTTGCTTATTGTGTTTCTTTCATTATTCCCTTCCATTTGATATCCTTAATATGAGGGTGACTATGAAAATTATAAATCGATATTTTGCAGCAGCCGCCATAATGGATCTAGAATGACGTCACGTTGCTTTCTCCCCTCGCTTTTAGTCGATAACCATATCATAAGGGTAACTAAAGAAATTATAAGCGCCATATTGCGGCGGTCGACATATTTGATTTGAAATGACACTGCTTAATGTGTGACAATAGAAATTATAAATCGTCAAATTGCTGCCTCCGCCATATTGGATTTAGAATGATGTCAGTTTGCTTATTGTGTTGCTCTCATTAAGTTCTTCTATTCTTTGTTTTTTTTTTATTTATTGTATACGTCCAAGATAAGGATCCTATGCATAGCGATCACAATACCTGTGGGAAATAGAGCTTAGGTTAAATTAGGAAAAGGTTGCGTTCTTTGGGATGTATTTACATGTCGTTGAGAAACTTTCATGGCTTACTGAGATATTTTGGAAAAAAACTAAAATGTGTCCAAATCTTTTTTATTTTTTTCTGTCTTTAAGAAATATTAAAAAACTAATGAAACTTTTCCATTGGTTAATTTTAGGCACTACATGTTTTTAAATTTTGTACCCGACGGTTCGTTTTTCAGAAACCATAGGATCCAAAAAAAGTTTACCCTGTATCTAATAGCATTTTTAAAACGAATTCATCGATGTATCGCACGTTACATTTATATACTTGGTTATACACTAAAATGCGTTTTTTCAGATTTTTTTATTTTTGTTAAGTGGGCGTTGCAAACAAATGCTTGACTTGACGTAAATACATGTCACCGAGTATTGTTAATATTATTTTATTATCGTCAAAGAGGGCAGGCGGTCATTTTAGCTATGAAGAAAAGTTCAACATGCTGACGTGCTACAGTTTTTGCTACAAAAATACTGCAGAAATATATCTTGATAAATTTCCCGAAAGAAGACAGCCAAGTAAGTCCATTTTCTTAGAGTTGAATCGAAATTTAAATGAATTCGGTTCATTCAAAAAGCCTAGTACTTCTTGAAAAAATGAATCTTTAGAAGAAACTCGGAATAGTGTTTTAAGGCCGTCTGTGACGATACGACATTTTGTACTAAATTTAGTACGCTAAATTTCGTACAACACTAAGGATAGTGTCAGGCAGCATTTAGTACATAATTTAAGAACGTTTTGGGTTTAATCTGTGGTGTGGCATTATAGGAACCAAAATATTGGTCCATAATTTACCTTAGGCATAGGTTAATAGCTGGTGATTTAAACAAGACGGTGCTCCTGCACATAACTCTATGCAAGTTCGAGAGTATCTTTCTCAGCGATATGCGGCACGCAAAAACAAAATGTCGGGCACACAGTAAAAACACCATGTAGTACCTAAAAAGTTTCCATTAGCTTTTTAACATTTCTTAAAATGAAGTCAGAAAAATATAAAAACGATTTGGCCAAATTTTAGTTTTTCGCAAATAATTCAGTACGCCATCAAATATTTAAAAGTTTCTCAACGGCATGTAAATCCGCCCCAAAGAACGCAGTCTTTTTCTAATTTAACCTAACCTGTATCTCCCACAGGTACTGAGAGCCCCATGCATAGGATCCGTATCTTGGAAACCCTGGTGTGTTGCAGTATGTTCCTATATGTCATAGTTCCGGGGCGACAAGATTTTTCAGTTTGAATTTATCACCACTATACTTGCTAACACCATGTTCAAACATGTTATCGAAATTTTCGAATTCAATTTCGAAACAAACGCTGTTGTTCTGCAAACACTTAATCACTTAAAATGACCTTTCAAAAATCGGTAATGTATACGTACATAGTTTCAGTTGCCAGCCAGATAAGTGATGTCGCAATACCGATTTTTGGTACAGAACTTCCTCTTTTCAAAGCATCTTGCATATGAAATTACATATTTGATAAATGTTGACATAGGAATTATTGGAAAATTATAGATGGACAACCATTCGTTAAACAAACATCAATTAGTAATGCATTTGAATAATTATTATTTTTATTTCCCCTCAACGTTGATAACGTAGAACCAGTAAATATGCAGCATACAAATTTTCACCGCGAAAAATTTGAATACATTGGAAGAGCAATACTGAGAGATTGGAATTATTGCCTTTTGAATCTCAATAATACCATTTTTCTTGTAATGTCAATGTTAAGCTCGAGTAATACTATCACACCGAGGTGAAAATGACCCGAAAACGTAATCAAAATACAAGCTGCCTAGACTTAAGTGTTATATCCCTATAAACAAACAGTCTTGAGGTAAGGAGTCAAACGTGTTGACCCATCAGACTTGGGGATAAGAAAAAGTTGGACAGGTGCTGATGTTTAGTTAGCTCAACTTTTTTACTGACAGCACCGCAGCTAAGCAATTGAGAGACTGTCGAAGGTCGGTAGTTCATGTGACCACTTGAGTCCAACTCAGGACTTTAGCGCCACTCTTAAAGCTCTGCCATTGATGATGAATACGCGTCAAAGTCCCTGCTGATCTACACACCTCATCTGCAATAATGGGTGACATCTGATGTTGTCAGTACGTTGTCTGGCCTTTTGGCCTTCAGCTGCTGCTCATATTTAGAATTGACTTACTTGGTCAGACCTACACCGAAGAACAAAATATCAATGGAAGCCTCTATCACAGTATTCCTGAGTTATTTGCTTTAATGTGAATATCTGCCAGCATGCGCTCCTCTCCCTTCTTTGAACTTAGAGGATAGATTATTACCAATTGCAGTTAATGAACAGCTCACATGTTGCTCTACACAGACCAAGCACTCATCCCTGCGTGCGACAATTTCAATTATGGCTTCCGCTACCTCAGGGTTCACCTTAGGTGGATAGAATAGAACAGAATTTATTCATCTATCGTCATCAACATATGTCAGCCTTGGAACAACGCGCGAACATTAATTATACTAAGGTCGCCGCATCATCGAGGTGATGAGTCATCTATTGGAACAGACTACATGGCCTTTAAGACAACACAATCCAGAGCGCCCTGCAGTTCGAGTGCCACCTATGCAAAATGTAACGCTAATCTGGCATAATGATATTTAACCTCGGTCATTACTGAACATTAGAACTTTGGTGGTTTCCTAACCGGTCATGTTCATACGTACAGTCCTGTTCCATAGTTATCACCAGCCAGGTGGAATTTGCTATCACAAGCAAAATGTAACGCTAGTCTATCATAGATGTACCTAATTTCTATATGTTGTTAATGAAAAATAGTACTGTAATGTGCATTTTATTGACCTGTTCGATGGCTATTCCAAACCATAAGGAATTTGCTATCACAAGCAAAATGTAACGCTAGTCTCGGATAGATAAAACCTAATCTCTATCTGTTATTAACGAAAAATAGTACTTTACTGGTTTCCTAAACAGTTATGTGCATTCTGACAAAGATGTTTCAAGGTTATCACAAACCAGGTGAAATTTGCTATCACAGGCAAAATGTAACGCTAACCTCGCATAAGGTGCCTATTCTTTATCTGGTGATAACAAAAAGATATACATAGGCGGGTTTTAAATCTGACATGTTCATAATTACACACCTGTTCCATGGTTATCACAAACCACGTATAATTTGCTATACTAGCAAAATGTAACGCTAGACTCGCATAGATGTACCTAATCTCTATAGTTCATTAATGAAAAATGGTACTTCGGCTTCTTCCTAACTTCTCATGTGCATCCTTAGAATACTGTTCCATAGTTATCACAAAGCAGATGGAATTTGCTATCCCAAGCAAAATGTGCCGCTAGTCTCACATAAATGAACCCAATTTTTATCTGTTTTAAATGAAAAATGCTATATTGCATCATTGCTATCACAAACCAGATGGAGATTGCTATCCCAAGCAAAATGTACCGCTAGTCTCACATAGATGTACCCAATTCTTGTCTGTTATAACTGAAAAATGCTATATTGCTACATTGCTATCACAAGCCAGATGGAATTTGCTATCTCAAACAAAATGTAATGCTAGTCTTGCATAGATGAACCTAATCTCTATTTGTTATTAATGAAAAATGGTACTTCGGCGGTTTCCTAAAC